TTTTTTCTCGTAGAAGATTAGAAAAATAATGCCAGAATTCTTGAGCCTATAACAAACAAACAATCAGCCCAGAAATTATGCATAATCAAAATGAGCAAGGTAGGCGAGGGTCTGTCTGATGGATTGACAAATCAATCACGGAGCCCCCCTCTGCACGCCCTTGCTTGCCACATGACACATAAGGTGACTTCATAATTATCTTCGGCCACAACGGCTTCGTGTCTCCTCTTGCGTTGGTTTTTTCACACTCAATGTCGTACGTGAGGTTGCTCAGATTGCCTCCGCACTCGGAGACGATCGGTCGTGGGGCAAACGGCTGGAGAAGGCACTTATCGGCTCGTCGCCCGACCAGCGGCGGTCCAAGCAGTGCCGAGCACGCTTGCAGCGGGTGGCATAAACGTGGACACTTTCGCACTGGCAGCCATGCGCTGGGGAAGGGAGAAGGTGACAGCATGGTCCATGCAAAGATACAGGGTCCAACAGGCATGAGAGGTTACGAGGAAGATAACAAGAACTCGGACAGCATTAGTCGCAACTGGAAGAACGAGAACTCTACTATGCGCGGTGCACATCCGAAGAGCGCTGCCCTCCGAGCCTGGGGTGACGCTCGTTCAAGTTTTGACCGCGAGCGGGTTTTGCTTGTACGCTCGGCACACTCGACAGGATCGTCGCCATTCTGGGGAGCCCTAGGGAACGAATGGGACCATAGGAGTGGATTTGTGCAATCGCGACCACTTCGATCATTTGCCTCTTCGACACCAACTAAGCCGGACTTCAAAGCGGAATCGTCCGACAGTAACAAGAGGAAGGGCCTACAGCCACGGCAGCGAGAGTCCCTGGGAGATCTGCTCAAGCCAAGCGATGTGAGGAAATGCACCCAGCTGTAGCTGTTTGGTTGGTGTGCCTTGTGCAGGGGCTAGCGGTGGTTGCTTTGGTCGGCACTGGCAACACTGGCAACACAAGATCGTGCGCAAGCTGCGGCGGCACAAATCACGTGTGTTGCATCATGTTTCAGCAAGAAAAACCCGCCGACATATGGAGCACCCAGTCCATGCTGAAGCTCGCTGCCCGATTTGAATTTCCTTCCAGAGGGGGCAATGATGTGCATACATACGTTTTACATTTGTTCGGTCGTGGGCGCGCGTCTTTGTCCAGGGCTCGCTGCTTCTCACTTAGTATTTGAACATTTATATTTTTAAACCGACTGTTTTGTAGGGTTTCTTTCTTGTCCAGAGCCCTACGGCGGTGTGTGCGTGAGTCATTTACCGAACCGATGGGCGCAAAATTCATTCAACAAAGAGCGGCTTCGGATTTTGCTTGGCGGGTGTACGTACTGCCGTAGTCGATGTTCAATTTCATGGCGCAACTACGAGAACAGCTGGTAGTTTCAGAGACTTACAATAGGTGCCAATTCCTTGTCTAACTGCATGAGCTCCGTGAGTTGATGTGCATGCATACCCTACATACATTGATAGTGTACCACATATGATGGGGGGGGTATCACTGGGAAGCCTCCCTGTGCCTGCCATCTGCGCTTTGATGCCGCTGCGGAGGCCTCGTGTGTGCATCGCCCTCCGGATGGCACAGCAGTGGTATGATGGGGTGGAGATAATGTTGATCTGTTTCCAAATCGTCCCATCCCCTCCGTTATTTCATACATGGCAGCTCGTAAGCAGCAAAGGCAAGGCAACCCCGAGTACACACGACAGTCCCGTGTCCGCAGCGAACTTTCCCCGCGCGCACTTCACGATACAATGCATCGAGAAAGGCAGGGCGCTTTTCTGCAGCGGTGCCACATACCACTAGTGACAAACCTCCGCGTCTCATGTGGACGTTCGCAATATTCATCGGCCACCACGCGGTCTGTGGATCTAACTCGAGCCCACAGTTCAACCACTTGATTCAAGCGAACCGTGCTGACCTGGTGTCACTTGCGTTTACGATAGTTTCACAAGAGACGACCATCACATCGGCCCAATACAATGACACCATGTAGATGTGAGCATTTTCTTCTGGAGCTTGAACGTTTTACATCCTGTCTTGCCAGGGTTCCGGGACAGACATGGAAATACGTGTCCTTGCCGCTGTCCCTTCAGTATCATACGGGCACTGGATGTGCAATTTCGCTGACGCGCCGACACGGCTGCTGTACCTTCTTTGTGGAGCAGAAAGAGATCGAGCCGGTCAAGGACGAATCAGCACAGCGCTTCAAGGACCTGCAAGAAGAGTACACGCTGTACGAGGCGGCCAGAAAGGACCCCAAGCAAGCATCTGAGCAGGTGGCGTTCTTGTTGATAGTGTTGTTCTTGGTGTGGATGATGATGATGCTGTTGTCTTCATACTGAAAACCGTTTTGATCTATGTGGAGTATCGTTCGACATCCGTACGTGGTCACAGTATGTATCCCCAAAGGGGCACACGTGTCATGAAAATCGAAGCGACAAGTAAAAAAGCCCACATACATGAACGCATACCAGAAAGTAGAAACCCAGACCGTCGGGCGTCGCAGACATGCCGGGCACGAGAGATAAAACATATCTTGACAAGGGTAGCCAAGCAAAATATGGTGCCCCCCCCATCCTGTGAAATCTACCCGCATTTCCTCAAGCTTTGAAGTACGCCGTTACATATGTTGTTATTTTTTCCCAAGCGATGGGTGGCCTCCCTAGAAATGCCAAAAATGCCAGTGCCCTCACCGACAGATTCATGAATATTCCCAGCGAGCACGTCACCATGCGCGGCACTGCTGGTGGCTACGAACCGACCGATGTGTTTGCTGCTTTTTTCGGCTATTCAATGCCCCTTAACTTCGAATGCTGTCTGTGTTGCGAGGACCTGTCATGGTCCTAACAATCGAAATCCTTCCTACCGTTGGGGCAGGGACAGGGTGTTTCGCCGTCGGCCTGGTCGTTGCCCAACTGCCACTGATATAGTTTCTCCTTTGGAGCGATGTTGCTGGCGAGAGAGAGGTGGTCTCGCGTGTTTTGGTGGTGTGCTAACTGCAGGTTTGTTGCTTGTTCCCGCGTGGCCTTTCAAAGGTGGAGCAATCCCAGATGGCGTTGACGCGGAAAAAGGCTGTCGCCATGGTCAAGAAGATTCCAGTGATGACATGGAACGCGACTAAGGCGATCGTGCTTTTCCTTTGGGAGATCATCAAGAACCCCATCGTGCTGAAGGACAAGTTGGGCGTAGCCCAGTACCATCTCAAAGAGGTATGCTGGTAGGCTGGCCCTTCTCACGCACGGGCCATTTTTTTCGCGTGCAAACGGGACAGCAAGTGGTCTCCAAGCGATCCGTCCGACCGTTGCTGCATGTCCTTTTGACATCAACGACATGCTGTGATGTCAACTATTGTTTGCTCGACTGCAGTTTGGACGACACTACTGGCTCGGGTTGAAGCTGTTGTGGGGTGACATCAAAACGGCCAAAAAGATCTTAAGACGAATCCTCAGAGGTTTCCCGATGACTCGAAGGGAGCGCAAGCAGCTCCTTCGGACAGTCAGCGACATCTTCCGGATGGTGCCCCTAGCGGTGAGCCTCGTGGGAATTGAGTTGTTTTTCGTCGTCCCCGATGTCTTGCCAAAATCCAACAAAGAATCAGTGAACGACAAATAGAGTAGCCGTCGCTCCGCGACACCGCCCTCTCCAAGCTAACGCATGGCGTGTGAAGACGAATCATTTCTGGGGTTTTACTCTCCTTGCTCGCAGTTTCTGGCATCCCTCTGGCCTTGGAGCTCCCCTCCAACGGGCACAAAGAAACGCCGCTGCGGCCATACCTTATGTTGAGGCAAAGAGAGTTCAGCAGTTCCTTCCCTCAGATTCACTCGGGACAATGGCAGTACATACGCATGTTGATCGAGTCATGATTTCATGACAGTCAATCGTGTGATACTGCGGACAAGAGAGGGATACAAGTAATAGACCTACTAGAGTACAGTTGTGTTCGCCCCTAGATAAACCCACCGGGGCGATTTGAGATCTCCTCAATGCTGGATGTTCTTTGGGAATACTTGTACGCGAGGTGCAGTGCGTCAAGGACAAGTCGTTGCGGTTGTGTGCGCATGCATGCACATGGTCACAGTGCCCTCGGTGTCATCATGATTTATTTCCCTCCACCCGAGTACGGACAAGTATGGGGAGGAAAGAAGAAGGAAGTGAATGAACTTGAGGCGGCGCAGATGAAAGCAGCGAAAATCATCCTAGCATGCTCCAAGCGCACAAGTAATGCAGCCGTCAGGGCAGAATTGGGGATCCAATCCCTACGGTCGGGAAGAGACGCGAGGAAGCTGACATGGCAGTGTCGCATGTGCGGGATGGGAGAGGAGAGGTTGCCGAGAATTGTATGGGAGGCCAAGTGGGCAAACAAAAAGAGGGGTAGACAACCCACGGAATGGGTCAAGGTTGTAGAGGACGTATGGAGGGGGCTCGACATCGACGAAGATGAAACGCTGGAAACGGAGGGTCTACAGGGGTTCACGGAGAAGATATATGTTGCTTGTGGCGAGAGAGAAGAACAGAATCTAAGGAAAGAAACCAAGGATAAAGAAGGTCTAGAAGTGTACGGAATGTTGAAGGAAGGAATAGGCTTCAAGGATTACCTACATGGACCAATGGATGCAGAAACAAAGCTTAAGGTCGAATTCAGGACCGGGGACATAGGCCTTCGAGAACGTCGACGAAGACATAGGACGGTAGACGAGGAAGACGACGAGTTCAAATGTGACTGCAGCTTCGAATGCGAAGACCGTGTTCATGTAGTCGCGGAATGTCCGTTGTACAAGAAGGAGAGCGAAGTGTACGTGACTGAGCTGGGAAAAATAGATGGGACGTACAGGGAGATGTTTGAGGCATGTAAAAGAGAGGAAAGGACGGTAGCTGTACTGGGGCATAGGAGGTGGGTTGAAAAGGCGGGAAGGGATATCGTTAGGATAGACAGACTAGGGAAGACATTTTTGAGCCACCTTTGGCAAAGTAGAAAGGAACGATTGACCATCGGTGATCGGTCCTGTGGGAACAATTCTCCGTCCTCTCGAGGACGCGTGGTCAATGGTCTAACCGGTAAGGCATGCAAAACATAAGAGTACGCCCCCTACCCGACGACGTGTTTGTCCCAACCATTTAGGCGTTCGTGCTGATCCCCTTCATGGAGTTTCTCCTACCGGTGGCGTTGAAGGTGTTCCCGAACATGCTGCCATCAACATTCCAGGTGAAGTGCATCCGGGACATCGCGTGTAAGGCTGATCTCCGCATTTTCGCGATGGCTTGTCAATCGACCGTGTTGCAAGTGAGACTGCACACTGGCACTTACGCCATATTTCATGACGTCCTTGCTGCTTTCTTCACATGGACAGGTGCTGGTATGACTTGACCGGTGCCAGCCACACCAGCAAGTGCCGCCCGTAGATGGCACCCGTAGCTTGACCGATCCTGCCTGTCGTGAAGCACGCGGTTGTTTAATAGCCAGGGAAATGGTCTTTGATTTTTTGTGAACTATTGTAAAGAGACTCCAATGACTGAATCAATGAAAACAGCAGGCACACGCCCCCTTCTTCACGCGCAACCAAGGGGTGCTCGCCGCATCGTACATTGGTTGGTAAATTTGTGTACACTTGCCCGACAGAAACCCGATACGCCCTGTGTAAATCGTTGGGTGAGGGCATTGTTCACGGTATTTTCAGGTGGGCAGCACGCTCGAGAGTGATATCTGTGGCAATACTTGATAGCAATCGAAATGGACACATCAATGCTGCACATGCGGACAGGAACAACACGTTTCAAACCTTCATGTCTGCGTTCCCGCTGATCGTGGGGGCCTTTACTCTGGACCTTCTGCAGGTCACGCTACACCACTTCAACACGTGAATGCATTACGGCACCACTCGCTGTACCGGCATGCGTCGAAATCATTTTGATATCGTACAACCCGTGGTTGTCGCTGTGGTCAATGTTGATGAGTGTGCGCCGATGTTGATACCACAATAACAGGACAACCTCAAAGAAGAAGAGAAGTTGAAGAAAGAGCTGAGACTGCGCATGGCGTACGCTGGGTTCCTCCAGGAGACGGTGACGGCGATGGCGGTCAAGAAAAAAACCAGGCACGAAAGTATGGTGCTCCAACGGACACCTGTAGGTTTTCAATTCTGGGCACCTCATCTTGGAAGCATATACACACGCATAGGATCATGTGTCACGATATGTTTTGTATGCAGACCTCGCTGAAGACGGGCATTGCTGTGTTTCCGTGATGTTATCATGTGGGTGACTTTCTGGCAGGGCGGAGGATGGCGAGGAGTCCGAAGCTACAACCGGGGAGTTGACAGAGTTCATAGAGAAGGCCAAGATGGGAGAGATTACCAACCAGGACATTCCCAAGTTCGCCAAGATGTTCAAGGTAGGGTTCGTTTTCTTTTGTGTCGATTGGATAGACATGAGGGTAGCGTACTCTCCATGAAATTCCTTTGTATCGATCAGCAGTTTTTCGCTTGTGATATCCTTGAGCACCCTTTGAAGGCAACGACGACAGCTTGAATTTGTTTTTGTCGCGAAGCGGGCACCCTCACTACGTGTTTTCACGGCGACATCAGGTCACAAAACAAGTGTGTTGTGTGCTTCTGTCGCCGCGTTTCCCTCTCGTCGCCTAGATACTAGTCGTCAATACGCGCTCACCCACCCTTCGGTTCCCACTTTGCTCGTTTTGCTCGTTGGCTTCGCGCAGGACGAACTGACGATGGACAACATCTCACGATCGGGGTTGGTGAACATGTGCCGGTACATGGGAGTCCCACCGTTTGGAAACGACAATTTCCTGCGGTACTGCTTGCGCTCAAAGCTGCGAGCCATCACGCAGGTGAGACGGCACGAGGCTTCCTCTCTCCCGCATTTGGTGAAATGCAGTTGTGGTACGGTAGGTTCGCAGCTACTTGCAGGGAGCATGGACCTCCTCGATACATTCCGCACAGAGAAGCGCAGTCGACAGCACGGCGCAACGTCTCATGCAACGATCTTTGCTCACAGCGTGACCTGCTTGCGTTTGTTTTCTGTTTTACAGGACGACCAGCGCATCCTGTGGGAAGGAGTGTCGAGTCTCACGAAGCAGGAGCTGCAGGTTAATCCGATCATTGTGTCGCCGACCAACTTGTGGTTATCCTTTTTGACATTTCGTTCCTTGCTCTACGCAATGTTGGCGTCTCCCAGTCGGGAAGACACGCACGCCGGTTTATGAGAGAGCATGCACGCAGTACGTTTACTCTCAGGGAGACAGGGGCATCCAGTTCTGACTTATTTTTTTTCGTTGTGAAGAATGATAGTACCCAATATTGCCGTCGCCTACTGCTCGCCAAATTGCCTACCTTGCATCTTCGTTCAGGAAGCGTGCCGAGAGCGAGGCATGCGCGCGACGGGTCTCACCAAGCAGGGGTATGTACGGCAGCTCAGCCAATGGCTGGATCTCAGGTGAGAATCAATTGGTGTTAGTTACAGTTTTTTTTTTTATGTTTTCTGCTCCGGAAGCCACACGACTCTGTCCGATATTTGAAGCATTGTACACCTCATGTGGGCAATGCCCCTACAGGAGACAGATATACTGGGTCGAGTTCACGCCGGTGTAAAACCCCCCCGACAGACAGCTCTCTGCGTATTGCTTCGTCTTGCCACTGTGCAGTACGAAGAAGAGTGTGCCTATTTCGCTGCTCATCATGAGCCGAGCATTCACTCTTCAGGCGCCCGACCCGGCAAAGGCCCTGGCGCAATCAATATCTGCCATGGACGATGACGTCGTGACCGAGGTGAGATCCTTCGTGCGGTGTTTTAACACTACTGTTGGGCGAACGAGATCATTATCTGCGACGCTTTGGGTGTGTGTTTCTGTTGTGTGTTTTTGCCCTGTTTATTATGTCGACAGTCCCCAATATTTCGTGGTGAGACGTGCACTACACCTTCCAACGTATGTAGAGACTACACTTTTCAGTGTATTTTTTCGTACAGCTACAACCATCCAGGGTCACACAGGAGGGGGTAAACACCGAGGCTTTTGTTATTTTTATTTCATTTCGTGCCCCAACTTCCTCCTGCGGTGCGTGCCAAATTTAATTTTTGTCGTGAGACGGGGCCAGCCGTCCCTTTCCCTCGTCAACGTTGCCAGCGTCGAAGTTTGGTCCTCACCAGCTTTTCACTTCATTCACCCGCAAATTTGTAATCTTGTCACCCCATGGGGATTTGAACTCACGACTTTGCGAATAGCGGTTTCGAGGTTACCACTAGGCCACCGGGGCGACCGGTTCTAGTGGAGCCGATAAAAAACGCCCCACACGACCCCCCTCTTCTCGTGCGCTATAGTTCAGCTCCCAGGACCACCGGAGGTTTTCTGTTAGTAGCATCGTCGTGGTCATTCACGAAGCATTATTGCTCGACAACTCTCACTGCTATGATGTCGCAGGTGATGATTGAGGCTGCCTCCAGCGAGGAGCAGAAGACGCCGGAGTACCGCACCAGGAAGTTGGAGTCTTTGACGAGGCAGAACGAGCTCATCGAGGAAGAGAATCGCAAGAGGGAGGAAGCCGAGCAAGCGCAGGTAAGAGGCTGCGCGTCCATCGCAAGCTGTGGGCACGATTCACGGATCACACCAAAACCTAAACTTAGCACTTGCCACTGTACGTATGCATTATGATTGATGCAATAGAGAGAGATTCGTTTTGTTTGCGCCTCTTCGTGAAGAACATGGCTTATTTATTCAATGTTTTGTGAGATAACAGCGCGCACCACACCTGGCCGGTGATGACGGCGCATTGGTGTTGTACCCAATGTATTGCTTGACTGCTGCCATCACTACATCTTGCGCGCGCGTTTGACTGCGGGCTTTGTTGTACGCAATGTTGATGACCAACTAGTATAGTTCACCTAGCGACTCTTTCTTGACTGTGCGCGCGTTGTACTGTGGACTTTGTTGTAAATGGCGTGCTTCGAGGTGCGAGGGAGTAATGTAGGGAATAGGGAGGGTAGGTAGAGCACTAGACCTAGAGGGGGATTGCGTGTGGATGGTCAATAGCCATGTTGACTGGTTGTGTTATTCCGTGCACTATGGTCGCTCATGACCAGCGTGGTTTACGTGCGTGGGTGGGCCCTTGTTTTACTTCCGCTTGGTATGTTCCGAAGTGCTGCATGCACGCGCAGACAACACGGTTGCAGAGCTAGCTCCAACAAGAGGTCAGGAGCGAGAGCATGACGCAGAGAACAGACGGGCGGGTAGAGAAAGGCCAGACTGGCCTAACCGTATTCGCTAGTAGGTGTGATGTGTCAAAACAACCAATATACGAACGGATCGCAGCGGATGGTTGTTATAGATGGGAGTCGAAAATTCGAGAATATTGCGCGCACGAATTACTGCTGTTGTGGATGGATTGATGCGAGCACAGAGTGTGCAAGGTGCAACGGAGAGCAGCGAGACAGACAGGCAGCGTGCTTTTCGAACGGGTCGGATGTGTAATCTTTGAATGAAGTCTCAATCAAGTGATCCTGACCTGCGGTGCGCGGAGATATTGACATTGACTCTACTTCGCGCAGGAAGCCAAGAAAGCGGAAGAGGCCAACAAGGCTGAAGAGCTGAAGGCTGCCGAACTCAAGGAGGCGGGCGAAGTCGGTGCTGACGGCGTCTCGTCGAATGCCACGGCGGTGAGATGCTTTGTGCGTAGCCTAGGCCCTGTGCAAGTGTATGTAGCAGCTCTTGAGACTTCCAGACCGGGCATGGTTGTCCACGCCAGTGCGCGGTTGCTTAATACCTTTCTCTCTCTTGTGGCGATGTCACCCTCAATGTGTGCGTCACTGGTGAAGGAGACCGCGGAGGATGAAGCTGTCGACAGGCTCATTGAGAAGGCGGCGGTCGAAGCAGCGGCTAGGACAGCGCCAGGGGACGCCTCGCCACAGGTTGAAATGCAGGAGGGGCAGCAGCGCTTTGGGGCACCGTCGGGTGTCGAAACAAAGAAAGGCACGGAGCCCGTCACCACTGAAGCAGATCTTCTTGCACCCTCGAGGGGTGTCGGGGTGGGAGACCGGTTGGTAGCCTCCAAGCCAGCCAAGTCAAAACAGTCCAAGAAGGCATCCAAGACAAGTGCTGTGAACACGCCGAAGGTACGTGTCGGTCTAGAAAATGTGCTGCTTGAGCTTGTGTCAAGTTTTGCTCATTTTTGTAACGCGTGTTGATCGTGGACGTGGTGTGGCAAGCAATGTCTTTCGTCCAGCTTCAGACTCATGCAAGTATATTCTGGATGATGAGTAACCTTGTATTCTGCGTTCGCCATCCGAGAAACCCTTCGCAGGGGAATCTTTGCCACACCCCTTATGTTATCACCATCTCTTCCACCGACCAACCTAGGTCGAGCTGGACCAGCGCGTGGGAAACGTGGCTGATGCTGAGCGCCAGCTGTCTGAGAGCAAGGAAGAGAAGCACACCGCGGAAGATGGAGGGAATAAACTCACGGTGAAAGATGGTTTGCCACCTTTTGTGTCTAGCGGTTGATCCTGCCTTGCTGAGTGAACTTCAAAACCAGTCTTAAAATCACCGCTCACGCTCAGTCCTACTTGCCCGCCCATGCTGGCCGTGATCCCTGTACCCGACGTCCCCGTCTCTTGAAGAACGCTGAGCTGGCTGCTCTGGAGTCGTTGGCCAGTCCGTCTAGCGTCGAGAAGGAGAAGGCACAGTTGGCGATGATGAAGGCGGCCTTGCAAGAGTCCTTGGGCAAGGTATGCGCGAGAAGATATGTGTTGCACACGGCTTCTGTATGCGGGTGCCTGCTAGTCCTTGCAGCTCTATAGCGATCTGCCGGTGAACGGGCGGCATGTCCGCCGGCGTAATATCTCTGTACACCATTTTCAAGATGTAAAGAAGCACGCGGGCAATACTAAGTGTATCTGCTCACAGGCCCATGATTGAAAGCCTACGTCGCATATTTCTGTACAGCCTGACGAAACAGGGCGAAAAATCACCGAGACGGGCGATGCCAGCGACGCCGAAGGAGCGTCCAAGGAGTCTGGTCCGCCTATCTCAGAGAAGGACGACACCACGCATGGTGGGGCTGGAGAGCAGACACAGCCCAAGGGCGAGCACGAGATGCCGCCAGCAGAGGTTCGTGCCCATGAGGTCGAAAGCGAAATTGCGGCGTGCGCACAGGCAAAAGTATCCGATGAGTCGCATGTGAACACTACCCATGATATGTCACCGTCTAGCTGCCTGAAGGCTGCAATGGATGAAGCCAACCTCGTTGGTACATGTGAGGGCCTACCTTTATGTCTGCGCACGCGCTGTCTCTGTGTTCGATCAAACGTCGCACAGACTTGGATCTCCTTGACTACTTTCTCCGTCACACGTACTTTTTATTCTTCCCTTGCTACTTGTTGCGCGCACAGAAGCCTGATACACCCAAGGAGACGGCGGAACCACCATCGCTCGCAATGGCATCAGGTAGAGCAGTATTTTCGAATTGTCGAGCAGGGGAGAACGATTCCATCGAGGCAATGTTGTCAATATTAGCGAGAGTTGTGGCGTGGAGGTTCTCAACACTGTGCACGCGCGGTCTGCATACAAGTTGTGCAAAGGACAAGCGCGTTGTTCTACAGGTTGTCGTTATAGGTTATGACATGTGTCGGCGCTATTCAATCGCTTGGCTGCCCTTTTCCCGCCTCTCCCTGCACTTACTATACATCAGGAGACGGTGCTACTCCAGGGTCTGAGGGTGCTGCCGACGTTCAGGAGGATGCCAAGGCTGGAAAGGTGCGAAGCTTTGATTAAGGCAATCCTGAAACCATGCGGACCGATATTGATGCTCGTTGATCGACTTGAACATGATACGTTCGTGCGACCCTTACGTGACTCGTTTGACTCGTCAACGTGTTGTGTCCATGACGAATCCTTCCACGTCCTTCTTTCTTGCTTGGGGTTTCGCGTTGACCCCTGCGGCCCGAAGTTCCTTGAACAACCCATGCCTGCTGTTTGCACCGTCTGAGCATGGCTACCACAGGGTTTTTGTGTTGCACTGGGCTACCGTTACGCCTTAAAAACCCACGCATCCAAGGGTCTTATGTGAATATGAATTCTGGACACATGGGCCACAAACCCGCCGGAGGGAAATTTCGATTTCTGTTTGATATGGAAATCATTAGTATAGGGGGCTTCGTTCACGAAAACATGTCATTGTCCCCCCTTCTGCAAAGTTTTCTATGCACGGCGCCCCTTACGCAATTGTATAGAAGTTGGGGTTGGCCCCCCAAATCACCCCCCCCTCGGTGTTTGCCATCGATATTGGGTTTTCGTCGCTTGGCAACGACGTTGTAAAACAACCAATTCACTTCGTGAACTCCGCAACCAGGTTATCGTTATTTTTTGCCTGTGTTTTTTTTTTTATTAGCGGTAACCATAATGGTGGTCGCATAGACTGTCTCTGGAAATGAAAGCAGAGAATAAATCAAGTCATACGCAGCTGTCATCCGCACGCAAGGAAGTAAGCACAAGATGCCGAACACCCTTAGCAGGATGCAGCGCACCCTCCATGCGACTCACCGATTACCCCACGGCGCTTCGCGCATGGTGATGTGAGAGCCTGGTCCGGTGAGAACCCGGCGTGCTCCGTCCCGGCTTTGTAGGGATGCGAGGTCAATGATTTCACGACTACGGCATGCACGACTATGAGTACACCTCCCCCCCCCCCCCCCCTGTGTATAAGAGACAG